ACATAGGAGCTCTGGATTTTGGCTATCATATTCCTGAGAGCTGCATTTCCAGATTTCTTTCAAGAGGTAACTGGGAGATTCTATTTCCACTTTGCCCTCCAGTTCTAAAACAACTGGGCAGTTTTCTTTTAAGATTTCTGGAAATAGGATGTCTAGACTCCTCTTTTGGTCATGGCTTTCAGGTAGTCCAATGATTCTTAATTTTTTCTCCTCAGTGTGTTTTCCAAGTGAGTTATTTTTTACTGTGAGATACCTTGCATTTTCTTCTATTTTTCCGTCTTTTGGTTTTGTTGTAGAATTTCTTGGTGTCTCATGGAGTGATTGGCTTACATTGGATCCATTTTAATTTTGAGGGATTTTGTTGCTTGGGCAAAGTTTTGTACTTCTTGTGCCAAGATGTTCATTCCCTTTCAAATTCTTTCCTTCATAGCACTCAATTCTCTTCCTTTTTGCACTCTAGAACCTTGATTTAATTAAAAAAACATTTCAACTCTCTCTTTAATTCTTGTTTCATCTCTCCCAGGAATTTTAGTTGAATTTGGGCCTCGGCCGTGTTTTTTTCTTTGAAGCTTTGTTTATAGATGTTTTGTTTGGAGTCATTCTCTTTTTTGGATTCCTGTCTTGTGGCCCTGTTACCACAATAATTTTATATGGTAGAATTCTTTTATTGTTTGCTCATTCTTATGACTACTTTCTGACTTCAGACTTGATGTTAGGGGTGACTCTGTACACTTCTGGTGGGAAGGGATGCTGCTTTCTTGGGGTTTGAGCACTGTGTTATTCTGGGATCTCAGGGACAGTTTAGGCTATTGAGAGGGACAAAAGACTCCCTTTTGGTCTAGAATTTTGGGTCTTTTGGTGTAGAATTCCTACCCTAGTTATTTCTCTGCAGGCTTCAGACAGGGCTAGAAGCTGGAAGGAAGGAGGGAAGGAGGGTGATTTTTTCCCCAGAGAAACTTGTTATAAATATTTCCCCAGTTAACTACTCCTCTTCTCATTTTAACTGCATTGATTTTTTTAAGCAAAACTTTTAAAATTTCACATAATCAAAATTGTACATTTTACCTTCTGTGATCCTCTGTATCCCTTGTTTAGTCATGAATTCTTCCTCATCCATAGATGTGAAAGGTAATTTCTTCTTTGATCCTCCAATTCACTTGGTGTCATCCTCAATGTCTAAATGATGTAAGCACTTGCACTTTATCTTTGTATAGTTATTAAATATGTTGATCTATAGCTAGTTTCTTTCCAACTACTTTCGAGTCTTACCATCAATTTCTGTGAGTTCTTATGCCAATTTCTGGGATCTTTGGATTTATCAAACACTAGGATACTGTTCTCATTTGCTTTTTTCATCCCTTTTTCATGATAATGTCCTAAGCTTTCAAGGACCTCTCATTTACATATGTATGTATATGTATATGTATATGTATATGTATATGTATATGTATATGTATATGTATATGTATATGTATATGTATATGTATATGTATATGTATATGTATATGTATATGTATATGTATATGTATATGTATATGTATATGTATATGTATGTATTAATGTAAATGTTGTCTCCCTCCAAAGAATGAAAATTTCTTCACGGCAGGAAGTTTCATTTTGGTTTTTATATCACCATCATTTACCTTGCACAGTGCCTAGTTGTATAATAGCTATTTAATAAAAGCTTGTTGAATGATTTTTAGTAGATTTAAATAGCAGTGGGTAAAATGGATGGAAGAGTTGGGATCCTGCAGGTTATACAATCAGTTAAGAAGCTAGTGAAATAGTGCTTATACTCAGATAGAAATCTGGGCAAAAGTCTTTTAAAAAATTGTTAATGAAGAATGAAGAAATGAAGAAATGAAGAAAAGGGAAACTGATATGTGTAGACTCAGAGAACAGATTTACTGTAATTACTCTTCAAAAAAAAGTTAATGTAAAACTCATTACTAAAATGAATCTAGGAAAGGAAGTAGTCAAGCCATTAGATACATGTGACATTGTGGATGTTAATTTCCATGGACACTTTAGACTTTTAGTTGAAGCTTAATATGGTTCAATGTCCAGATATACTATAGAACAATTTTTTGTTAATGAGCTATATGATGACATTAGTGCTTATTTATCTTTGGGGAATTTTTCATGGCTTTTGATGACCTTTAGTTTTATGAGGGGTTTGATTTAAATGGTTTCAAAAGTTCTGTCTAACTCTAAGACACATGGTTGAGGCTATGTGAAACTGAGAAATGTCTTTGTCTCAAGGTGACCATGAATTTGCCTTGTGACAAGGCTCCCTGTGAATGGCTTTGTCGCTATATAGGCTTTCCCCTATCCTGAGATCTCATCTTAGGGCTCTCTCTTATGGACCATGCTCAGCTCACTGGATCAACCTTTCAAGGTTACCACTGTATTGTTAGTTTGTGGGAGGTGGCTTTGACCCCCAACAGCTGGAATCAACCAATTCATCCCCAACCTAATCACTCATCCTCAGGGAAATAAGAATGAGTTGACAAATACCTAGAAAAAGGGAATGTGGAGATGTTCAATTGGCATGTCCACATCCTTCTTAGGAAGATACAGTCAGCATCCCAAACAAAAGTTTACCTCCTAGTAGGAATACCGCAGGGTTTTTTTTTTTGTACTTTGCTTTAATGTACTTCAAAGATACTGGGGGTTTTTTTGGTTTGTTTGTTTTTTTACACATTAAAGGTTTGTAGCAACCCTATATTGAGCAAATGTATGGAGTAATTTTTCCAACAGCATGTGTTCACATCATGTCTCTGTGTCACATTTTGGTAATTCTTGTAATATTTCAAACTTTTTCATTATTATTATATCTGTTATGGTGGTCAATGATCTTTGATGTTACTATTGTAGTTGTTTTGGGGCACCATGAACCATACCCATATAAGACAATATATAAGAACTTAATTGATAAATGTTGTGTGTGTTTTGACTGCTCCACCATCTAGACAGTTACCCCCCTCTCTCTCTCTCTCTCTCTCTCTCTCTCTCTCTCTCTCTCTCTCTCTCTCTCTCTTCTCTTCTCTTCCTTGGGCCTCCCTATTCCCTGAGAGACAACAATATTGAAATTAGGCCAATTAATAACCCTACAATGGCATCTAAATGTTCAAGTGAATCAGCAACTACCACCCTGATCCATCACCAGCCATCAACATCGAGGCAAGACCCTCCACCTGCAAAAAGATTATGATTCACTGAAGGCTCAGATGATGGATAGCATTTTTTTTTTTTAGCAACAAAGCATTTTTAATTAAGGTACATAAGCTAGTGCTGCCATTTCCTTGGCCAGAGTACAGACATAAAAGAAAAACCTAGTACGGGTTGGCAGAACATGAGAAAGACTAGACAGTCATGCCTTGAGCATTCCTATAGGATAAAGTCTTAAATTTCTCAATTTCATGTTGTAAGGGAATCCTGACAACTAAGCCAATTATAAGGTCTGGAATTTCCCTGGCCGGGGAATCCTGCATCTCCCCCGTAACCATGGGGTGTTTTCATAACACAGAAAGAGGCCAAGGAACTCCAGATAGATTATAGGAGTTTAATCAATCATTATAATTATTCACAAACAGAGGCTATCTAGAGTGGCTGTCAGACAGTTCAGTGGATCCCCACTAAAGACTCCAAGAAAGCCCAGTGGGAATTATAGAAATCAGATAAAGGAAGGAGGAGTTATGGGGTGTTTCACTGCTGATTGGTGGATATTTGGGGTTTTCCTGCTTTGTTAATATTTTGGTTAATATTTTAGTTTATACTTAGGATTGAACCTGATTCCCAGACATCCAGGTGATTACCCAATGTTACCAAACACAGGATTGTATACTGTACTTTTGCTATGGCTTTTACCGGCTTTTACTCATTATCTGAGTTAGGACTCAGTGTCTAAATTATGACTCAGTATCTAACTTATGATTTTTAACAGGTCACCATGTCTGGGCTTCTACCTTTCACAGAGTTTAAGTTAATGGCTTTTCACTTCTTACTATATATTATAGCTTTTTCCCAGTCTGGATCCTACAATATCTTTCCCTGAGCACAGCATGCAAAGAATTTAAATGAAAAGTCCAGATTGGTGAATTTGTACCACACAATACAAAATTGATTTCAATAGACATAGCAAAAAAAAAACTAAATAAATTGGTATGAGATGGTGCAAATTCATCCTACCCTTTCATTCTTCTACAAATTTCTTGGAGGCAGGAGCTATCTGGTTTTGTATTTGAATCTGTAATTCCAAAGACAATGGCACATAGTAGGTACTTTAATTAAAGTTTGCTCTACTTGCAAAGGTATTACCTAATTAGAGATTCTGAACACATGGGCAAAAAAAAAAGTGAGAAAGAAGGCTGATGCTCTCCAAGCCCCAACTGTGGGAAGGCTCCTTAAATCAGACAGCTATTGGAAAAATTATTTCATCCAGCAGAAGAGGCACAGAGAAGGAAAGGATGGGCACTCTGCTGATGGAGACTTTAAGGCGAAAGGGTCTCCTATAGATGGAAAAATGGAAAACACAGACAGACATAATAATCTCTCTGTCTCAGTCTCTCTCTGTGTCTCTGTCTCTGTCTGTGTCTCTCCCTGCATTTGTATGTAGACACACTTATGTGTGTATATATGAATAGACACATATATGTATATGTAAAAAGAGCACTGGATTTGGAGGCAAAGGACCTGCATTTGAAATCTGGCTTCACATCTTATTACATGTGTGACTGTGGGCAAGTTAATTACCTTTTCTGGGCCTCAGTTTCCCCAGCTGTAAAATGGGGAAATTGTACTAAATGATACCAAATGTTATTTCCAGCTCTAAATTCATGATCTCTAGCTCTGAAGTCACACTACATAGGTTAAACATTGAAAGTGGTTCACCTCCCACCTGTTGGCAAAAACCACTTCCTATTTCATTGGTCAAGTTCCAGTCACCAATTTGTTGTGTGCCCTTGGACAAGTTTCTTAATTTCTCTGAAGCTCAGATTCTGTGAAGTGCTAGCTGAGAAGATCTCTGAGTTCCTTCCTGAAGTCTGCCTTGTCATTGCCTATCCTTCTTCTGTGACTGATTTGTGTTCAGAAAAGTGAGTGAAGGTGTCACCACTCTGGAACAAAATAGACCTTTCCATGGTGACTTTCTTTTGGGGAATCTGGGACGGTGAGTGATTGTTGTAGGGAGAAAGGGAAGGTGTTTAGAGTAAAGGGCAAGAGGGTAAGATATGTATTGTGATAGACAAAAAGTGGGTGGGGCAAATTCCTTATATAGTCTCCTCTCATCACTCATTCACTGCCTGGAAGCACTAGCCTTGCCTTGCCTGGATTCTATCATTTCCTTCCCAAAAGGTTTGCTTCCACCAGACGCAACAGTTTCTCCACTTCCTAGTCCACAGAGATCAGTGCTGCCACAGAAGAATGTTGTCTAAGAGGTGAGGGCCGCATTGGGTAACAATGCTTGTATGGGTACGGGGAGATTGATGGGGTAACCCTAGTGCTCTTAGAAGACGAAGACATAAGGGTTCTCAAGGGCTAATGGCAAGGAATTCAAAGTCTTTTGGCTGGAGGAGAGTATACTAAAATCCTTAGGGGCTGAGGGATAGTGATGCCTGAGGCTGAAAGGGATCCCCAGGCTCTCTAGAATTGAAGGGAGCCTTTTGATCCCCAGGGCCAAAGGGAAGCAGCAGGTGACTGAGAAGCTGGGATTGTGGGAACTTTCCATTTTACTTTCATGTATATGAAATGGCTTTTGAATGTAAAAGGGCTATCCCATTGTCAGGGATAGCTCCATAGAGCAAAGCTAAGAAAGAGCCCAAATGTTCAGCTCTCTGTGTCTTGGCTCCTCGTTGGCAAAATGAAAGATCAGATTAGATCATCTCTAAAGTTTTTCCCATCTCCAAATCTTGTAATCCAGTGGAGAACATTATTTCCAGAGAGGGAGGGAGGTGAAGTTGAGTGCCAGATTATGGAGGGAGGGATTGAGATGGGGTGTTAGGTTGAGCCAGAGGGCAGACATTTTATGGCCATCTCTTTCCAGAACCTCTGTTCAAATCCTCTCTGAGGAACCAGAATCCTGCATTCAGACTCCTAAGAAGGTTGGAAGCCCCGGAGAACTAGAAGAGCAGGTGATCTGCCTAGAGCCAGGAGCCTCTGCTTGGAAGCTTGTCCACAAAAAAATCCAGCAACTATCAGACTCGGTAAGAGAAGCTGACACACTGGTTCTGAGGCTGTTGGTAAGTCAGGAAAGGAGAGACTTATTTCTGGAAGGACTCAACCTGTTGGCCATTTGACAACAGGAAATAAAGATGAGAGCCAGAGTGCCTGGGCTCATTCCAGCTCTCCCAATAACTCTGTGTAACCTGGGATGATTAACCTCCACTGTGAGGCTCAGTTTCCAAAGTGAGCAAGTGAAGAGGTTGATGAAATGCTGTGGATCCTTCCTGCTGACATTCTATGTTCTAAGATCCTTCTTAGTCCTAATTGTCTTAAGTTTTAACATCTCTCTCATCTCTAATGTTCTATGTTGTAAGGTACCTTCCAGCTTTGACAGTCTATGCTCCGTGGGCTTTTTTTTTTATTAAGACCCTTTATATTCTACTTTCTAGTACCTCTCCAAGATGACATTCTGTGTTTTCTGTTCCAAAATTCCTTGGGTTCTCAAATTCTATCTTTTTTTGCATGTTAGAGATACAGTTTTATCTGTGAATGATCAAAATTGAGGTTTTGAGATGTCAAATGACTTGCCTAGAGGCACACGATGAGCTGATGCCTGGACCAGGACTTGAATCAAATTCCATCTTCTAAGGGCCCTTTCAGCTTTAACATTGTCTTTCCCAACTCCAACATGCTTTTTTAATATGCCTTCCAGCTAAGAAATTCTATTATCTTTTTAAAAATTCTGTTTTATTTTATTTTCAAACAAAAATCCAGCTTCTCTCCCTCCCATTTCCCCTATCCTCCACATTGAGAAAGCAAGAAAAACAAAATGCCCGTTACAAATATGTGTATTCAATAAAAACAAATCCCCACATTTGACCATGTCCCTCCTTCCCCAGCAGTTTCCCCACTTCCTAGTCCAAAGGGATCAGTGCTGCCACAGAAGCCAAGAGGTGAGGGCAGCGTTGGAGAATGCTGCTTGTGGGTATTGGGAGACCTGAGTTCCCAGAGTTTGATGGGGCAACCCTAGTCCTCTTAGAAGATGAAATCACAAAGGCTCTCAAGAGCTGATTAGAGAATTCAAAGTCCTCAGTGGCTGAGGAGAGCACACTAAAATTCCCAGGGGCTGATGGATAAAGATCCCTGAACTCCCAGGGTTAAAGGAGGTCCCCAAGCTCTCCAGGATTGAAGGGAGACTTTTGACTTTCTAGGGCCAAGGGACATATGTGGGGAGAACAATATAGATTCTCAGGGTACTCCCCAACTAAAATAGACTTTTAAAATATAAACCCAAGACAACAATAATAATAACAGCATCTATATAACACTTTAATATTTGCAAAGAAATTTACTAATATCGTATCATTTGATCTTCACAACAACCCTATTAGACAGTTGCTATCATTAACGTTCTTTTACAACATGAGAAAATTGAGGCAGACAGAGACTCACCCATAGTTACACAGCTAGCAAGTGTCTGAGACTGGATTTGAACGTGAGTCATCCTTATCTAGGTCCAGAGCTCTGTTCTCTGCACCAACTAACTGGAAGAAAGGGCAAGTAATAGCAGATGAATATAAAGGCATGACTTGGTCCTGTAAGAATGTGTCTGGAATTCTGATAAAATTCAGAAGGAGCTTAGACTGGTGAGGCAAGAATGAACAAATTATTTTGGGATGTTTCCAAAGTTATATTGGAGAAAAAAGAGGGATTGAAGGATTGAGGGATTGAGAGGATAACTGTTCCAGATGGATGGAATGATGGTAATGTATGAAGGTTTGAACTTACAGATAATACATTCATTGCACTTCTCTGTTCTCTGTGGGAAAGAATGATCTTGGGCTTGCCATACTAACTTCATTTCCTTTTTGCACAGGTAGTAATCAGGGAAATTTTGAAGATAGAGCTTACCTAGATTTTGGTGAAGCTTTTGATAAAAATCCCATGGTTTTTTTGTGGAAAAAAATGGGAGATGCAGCATATATGATAGTGCAATTAGATGAATTAAAAAATGGTTGAATGCCTGGACCCAAAGAATAGTCACTAACAAGGTCAAAGAGGTGTTTATTTGGCAGGTCTTCAGCTCAGTGCTCTAGAGATATGGACTTGGCCCTGTGCTGTTTAACAGTGTTTAACAACGATTGGATAAAGGCATTGATGGTAGGCATAACAAATTTACAGGTGGCAGAAAGTGAAAACCACTGGAAGACAAATTCAGGATTCAAAAAGATATTTATAGACTAAACTGTTGGGATGAATCAAATAGGATAAAATGTAATGGAAATAAATCTAAAGTCTTCCACTTTGGTAGTATAAGTGATTCTCTCTCTATTCAGTTTACAAAATGAGAAAATTGAGGCTGTGAGAAATTCAGTGACTTAATGAAGGTCATGTAGCTACAAAGTGTCAGAACCTCAATTTGAACAGAGACCTCCTAATTCCCAGGCCAGGTCTCTGTCAACCACATCGTGTTTGATTGCCAATGGCTTCTTCTTCACAACTCCAAGGGACAGCTTGAATTAATTGAGATTTGGAGTAAGCAGAATGCAGATTTCCAGGGTCAGGAAAGTTCTTCCTTCTCCCATCAGAGATGACTCTACCCTGCCCTTTCTTCCACAGGATGAGAGAGATGCCTTCATGGTGGCTGACCTGGGAGTTCTGGCTGAGCAGCACCGGCTATTCCTGAAGGCCATGCCCCGTGTGGCCCCTTTCTTTGCTGTGAAGTGCAATAATAGCCCCAGTGTGTTGAAGGTGCTGTCCAACCTGGGCACTGGCTTTGACTGTGCAAGTCGGGTGAGCTCCAAGGAGGCCCCTGGGGGTGGGTGTGCATGATAAGAAGACAGGAGACTCATGAAGGCCAGAAGGAAAAGGGATTTTGAAAGACTGAGCAGCTCCGGGTTGAACAGAGAGGTTGGGGGCAAAGGAGAACTATAAAAGAAGTCAGGCTGTGGGTCCATGGGGTTGGAAGGAAATCAGAACATGGGCAACATGCTTACAGAAAAAGGAGGGCCACATCTTTCCTTTCCTCTTCCCATTGGTAACACCTCCAACAGAGTCTGTCTAGAGCAATAGGAGAGATTAAAAGTATGAAGGGGAGGCTACCAGTGGAGGGAGCATATATTTGTACATATGTTTGGACAAGGAGATACTGGGAACATTTTGGACACTTCTCCTTTCTTCCTCTTCCCCAGCTCCCCAGGAGCCCCTAAGAACTCCTTGGGAGCTCGCATCCAGGGAGTATTAAATCCATCTATCTCCCTCCAGTAAATTTCAAAATTACTTCTAAGGGACTAGTGTTTTCTAAATGGAGTGGGAAGGAATGGGAGATAGAGTAGAATCTAAATGTCCAGAAGCTCATGGCTGTACCCAATTCTTTTTCCCTGGGTTTTCCAGGGCCCTTGGGAGCTTGGGCTAGGGGTGGAAATGCTCCACTGAGTTATAATGAGCTCCCAGGATGAGGATGTGAGAAAGGTGTAGCCTCTAGAGGGATAATCTCTTCTGTACTGCCATTAGGGGGAGCTGGAACAGATTCTGAGCATGGGAGTTGCCCCGACCCGCATCATCTATGCCAATCCTTGCAAGCAGATCTCTCACATACAATATGCTGCCAGCCATGGGGTGCAGCTGATGACTTTTGACAGTGAGGAGGAGCTTGCCAAGGTCGCCAAGTTTCATCCCACTGCCAGGTAAGGGTAGCAGAAGAAACCTGAACACCACTTTAGTGTCAGGTTCCGGGCAATGGTGTCATGGGATGGACAGAGATGGTCTTAACCCAGACTCCAGACAGACCTGAAAAGCAGGAGACATAATAAAGGGAGAAAGTTGCCTCATTACTTTCAGCTCCCTCATTTCTAACATGGGGATAATACTAGAATTTGCCTGCTGAGGGTTGTTGTGAGGATCAAATGATACAACATATGAAAAGTGCTTTGCAAACCTTAAAGCTTTATGTATCCATAATAGCTGTTATTATTGTTGTTGTTAGTAATAATAAAGGAGTGGATGAATGAATAAGATTGATAGATGGTAAGATAGATAGGTAAAAAGTATATGTGCCTAATCACTGGACATCAAGGAGATCCAGGGGCAGGTGACAGATGGAGCACAGCATCAGGGAGGACTAGACATAGGTAACAGGCAGAAATCTGCTATGGGCGACAAGGCCTACTATGAAGTCCCAATCAATAACAGGTGATACACTGTCCATGGACAGTAAGGTATAATGGAAAGTGACCAGCAAAGGTCTTAGAGCAATGAGGCAGAGGATCCAGGAAGGATGCAGATGGGGAAGATAAAACAATGACCTAGACACTGGGGTCTGAGGTAGGAGTTCAGTACCAGGGGAAGTAGCCTGTAGTTCCTAGAAGTTGGGCATAAGATCTAGGAGGAATCAGCGGCTAGGCTGACTCACCAGTGTCTGGGAAATGAAGAAAAGTGAAGATGGAGTGGTGAGGAATAGAGGTGTCTAGGAGAGACTCCAGGGGCCACAGGCCTCCCTTGGTCAGTGGCTTCCCATTCTGTAGAAGTAGTGTGAGGCATTAGAAAGAGCACTAACCCTGGACTCAGACCTGAGTTCAAATTCTGTCTCTAACGTTAGTTATACAGCTTTGGGTAAGTTGCCTCGCCCCTAAGGGCCACCGGCAAGAGGGGATGATGATATTTGCACTACTTGCCTTAGTAAACCGTATTAAGGCACAAGAGAAATGTTATTCCTTGGCAGGTTGGTCCTCAGACTTTGGACCCAGGATAGCAAGAGCCTGTTTCCCTTGAGTGCCAAGTTTGGGGCTTCCCTGGACTACTGTGGCCATCTGCTGAACACTGCCAAGGACTTGGGAGTGACTGTAGTTGGAATCTGGTGAGTCTGCTTTGAGGTACTCCTCCTTCTCCCTGCGTGCTGAAAAGGGAAGAGGCCTAGACTAGGAGCCAGAAGGCCTGGGTTTGAGCTGGGCTGTGCTATTGACTTACTGGGTCAATGACCTTGACCTGACCTTGGGCAAATCTCTGCCTTTCTCTGGGCCTCAGTCTGTACTCTGTCAACTAAACACAATAATCTGCCTTGTCCTCCTCACAGAGAATTGTGAGAATTTGCAAACTATAAAGGATTTTGCAAACAGAAAAATATTTCTAAAGCATCAGTATATGTCTCTGTGTATGTCTGTATATGCATTTATTTGTGTCTGTGTGGGAACCTTTCTATGCTTATGGGTGAACAAGCACGTTTGCACCCATGTGTCTTCACGTGTGTGCCTGTGCATTTCCTCCATGCTAACAGCATGCTTGGCTCCACTCAGTTTCCACGTGGGTTCTGGCTGCCAGACCCCACAGAGCTTCGGCCAGGCCATTGCAGATGCCCGACACGTGTTTGACCTGGGCCTCCAGATTGGACACCCAATGAGCCTCCTAGATATTGGAGGGGGCTTCCCAGGCAAGAAGAACTTTGAGCCTGTGTTTGAAGAGGTGAGTAGCCAACATCCAAGGCTGGAGGGAGAAGCCAGGCAAAACAGCTGAGAGCAGGAGAGTGGGCTCAGCCGATGGGGGTGGGAGAGGCACATTCCCAGATGCAATCTTAGCACTTAACTAAAAAAAAAAAGCTTTATGGATGATCTTTCAAAAAATCTCTATCTTTTAAAAAATCTATCTCTATTTTTTCAATGATATATGCCCTAGGTACCTAGAGGCCTTACTTAAAATATTGGTCATTGTTTAAGAACACATGCTTCATTCTGCACCTATCTTTCTCCCTCTCCTCTGCTTTTTTCCAAGAGGCAGGAGTATTTTTTGCCAGTCGTTTGAAATCCCTTGTGATCACTGCAACTGAGGGAGTTCTGAGGGCTGTTTGCCTTTACCTTATAGTCTTCACTTTCTGCCCTTTTCAACAATCAAAATTCTTGAATACCAGAGGTATTGATAATGGGCCTCTCTGAGTATAGCCAGGCTAGTCCTTGTGCAACAAATGTATAGTTCACCCTTGGTTCCATACGTGAAAGCCTCCCAGTCAGTTAGGACCTGACAGCAGTTGGCTTTACTCTCAGGGCCTTTCAGAACTCAAGGTTGTCTTCACAATTTATGGCTTTGGAGAAGGCATTATGGTCTATAATGAATGGAGTATAGCATTATCTCCCAAATGGAATAGCTCTGAAGAGTTGCTCACAAAAATGTCAACTCATTAAACACTCTCTCTACCACCTGCACAATGACTCCGGGTACTATGTGCTCAGTCCTGAGCTTAGCTGGTGCTTGAGATGGGAGTGAGAAAAAAAAATTGAGACCTTGTCCTTGACCTCAGGGAGTTCAGAGTCTGGAGAAAGAAGAGGAAGAATAGACCCAGACCTTAACCTGGGGGAGATATCCGAGATGAAGATCCTATCTCTGCTATTGAGAAACTTATACTGTGCTGGAAGAACAGAGAAAGAAAGAATAGACTCAATCCCTGACCTCAGAGAAGTAGCAGACCCAGGCCCTGCCCTTGAGAAGTTCATATACTTAGTAGGATAACCAGCCTCCCATACACAGAGAAGATCCAAAGGTTGGACTGTGTCACTCTGACCTCAGGAAACTTTCCTGGAAGAAGTTCCGTGTAAGTTGGGCCTTGAAGACAGAGAGGATGAGGAAAAACCTTCCCTGTATTTAGGGGAGAAAGATAGGGGAAGGACACAGCATGAGCAAAATCTTGGAGGCAGGTAAAAGCTTGGTGTGTACTCATGTGTTGGTGGAGTGCCTGATGGTAAACTGAAGAATGCTAGCCCCTACGGTTGATCTGCATGGAACAGTTCTAATATCTAAGGAGAAAGGTGACAAATCCTGAGAGATGTGAGATATCTGAGTGGCATATCACAGTGCAGATCCCCCAGTAACATCCACGCGAGACAAGGGAATACTACGCAGGAGACAGAAACAGTCACTGGGGTCATTGCATAAGTGGGGCCATGATCGTTGGCTTGGCTGGAAAGGAGTGGTGGTCTGTATTGATGGAGACCATTCTCTTTGCTGCAGATGGCAGCTGTGATCAACAGAGCTTTGGACCAGTATTTCCCAGAAGGCAGTGGAGTGGAGATCATAGCTGAACCTGGTCGCTTCTATGGCGCTAAAGTGTGCACTGTTGCCCTCAATGTCATTGGCAAAAAGGAAGTGGTGGAACAAGGTATGCCAGGCTATTGTGCAGATCATGTTGGGCTGGGATAACTTCCTCAACCAGCTTGTGGTCTTTGGACTTGGTCCTTAGAGTGGCCAAGGGACAAACTGACTCCACAGTCATAGCACCATGCAACTAATCTCAGATGTATCTAGTCCAACCTTTCTCTGAAAACACCTCCTTTTCCTTCTCACATTCCTATTTCGTCTAGTGCCACCATTCACATAATAGCTCAGGATCACTGCCTTAGGCTTATGCTTGACTTTTCCCTTATCCTCTCCCTCCTCTCATATCCGGTTAGTTATTAAATTCTGCCAAATTCACCTCCGAATACTCCTTTTATTTCTCGTGACTGCCATGTTGACATTGGCTCTTGCTATCATTGGCCCAACTACGTCAGTAGCCATCTAAAAATTCTGCCCCCCTTCACTCTTTTCTAGTTGAGCACATCGGCTCACAGGTAGAGCTGGAATGAATCTTCATTTTACAGATGAGGAAGGTGAAATCCAGGGAGGCTTTGTTCAAGGTTACACAGCTGGAGGGTTGCTTGGAGCCTCCTTCTTCTGACTCCGGAACAATGCTCCTCCCACTCTACCATACTGCTGCCCCCTCTAATTGGTCCTTTCCAGGCTGCCAGGATCCTACCTTCCACGTAAAGTTCACAATCCTCTGCTTAGTATTCAAGGCTCTCCCAAGCAGCTGCTACCTTACCTTTCCAGCTCTATTTCATATTATTCCCTTCCAAATAATCTATTCTATTGTCCCGACAAATTGTGTCTAATATGCTACAAAGACAAAAACAAAACAATCCTTGTCCTCAAGGAGCTGATATTCCACTGGGGTTGGGGGTGGGGTGGGGAAGGGACCTGGTAAATACAAGCCGACAAGTAAATACAAAATATCTAAAAAGTCACATAAAGCAATTACAAGAGGGAGAGAATGCTAACAATTTCACAGATTATGGAAGAGCTTATGTAGTAGGTGGCATCTGAGTTGTGCTTTGAAGGAAGCTAGGGATTCTGAGAGGGAGAAGTGATGAGAATAAGTGATTGCATTGTAGACATGGGAGATGATTCATGCAAAGCCGTGAAGGAAGAATTGAAACATCATCTATGAGATGAATATCCTTTGCTCAAGAACCTTCAGTGGCTCCCTATTGTCTTTAGGATAAAATACAAACTCTAATCTGTAGGATTTAACACCCTGTATAATCTTGATCCAAGCACTTCTCCAGGCTGATTATATAGCATAGAAAGGATTGTTTTAAGCAAATTTTATATTTCTCCAGTGCCTAGCACCAAGCTCTGTACCAGGAAGGCTCTCAGTGAGTACTTGTATTATGAACAATTCTCCAGCATCTGCTTGCAGAACTCCAGTGCTGGAGAACTCACAGCCTAGCAGGAGAATGGAAAAGCCTAAAAGGGAAGAGAGCCTTGGGACAATCATGATAAGCCTCACTGCTGAGGTCAGGTTGTGATGCATTGGGATGTCTCAAGGAATCTCAAAGACTCAGGCCAACTCTGAGTCAGTTAGAGAGATTCATTGTGTTTTTAAGGTTTCACCCTCTGGTGAGGGGCTAAGTTCCTTAGAGGAATTAGCCATTTCAGTGAGGCAAGACAGACAATTTTATGGAGTACATGATGCTGATTACATAATCAAAATTTACATGGAATATGGGAATGTGATTAATATTAAAAAAACAGGAGGGGTTTATTAAGAGATTAGGTAATAGGGTTAGGAATTCCTTTTATGGTTCCATGGTCAAACATCCTGGTCGTGCTGCTTTCTGATTGGCTAGCTATTGTGATCTTGTCTGGCCAAGACGGATAGTTAGGTATTGTGTCTTGGGTTAAATGGATGACGTGATTGTGGTTGAGTACAAGAACACGCCTGTTCAAATATGTGAATCGGATCTGGGGGCAATGGCTGGCTAGTGGCAGTGGCTATATTGAGTCTGAGGACAGCTTTATTAGGATTCCATCATCACTAGTCCCAAATACCCTTCTGACTAAGCTGTTTTCTTTCTCCTGAAGGTGGCCGAAGACTGATGTACTATGTCAATGATGGTATTTACACCTCTTTTGGACTTATGCTGAGAGAGAAAGAAACAAGGATACCTCACGTGGTGAAGGCAAGATGGGGAACTGATTTTGACAGCTCTGGAGGTAGGGCAGGGGAAAGCTATATGGAAACTCCTAGAATAGAACAAGTCAGCTGGACAGGGCTATATTTCCTAAGGAATTCAGTCATTGAAGAGCAAGTTCCCTAAGATTTTCAGGTCAGTGTGGGCCCTCAGATGTAATCTTGATCATCCACCCTCAGCCTCTACTCACAACTCACCACTGAATTTCTCTACTCTGAGCTTGGGGATGGGGAAGAGTGTAGTCTGATGGCTTCCAAGGTGACCAGAATATAGCTGGTGCCTCTATATCCTTGCTGCCAACCTAGCTTAGACACAGCAGACTAACGTTGTTTAGGAGATACCATAGAAATGTTTGAAAAAAGGGAATTGATCAGATTCAACTGCCTATATTTTCCCCACATTTAGCAGCAATTGCCCTTTACATGAGTGATTTTCTAGTAAGTTAGCTGAGATACCAGAAGAAAAAGAAGCCTCTGCACAAAACTGACATATAAGTAGTGAGATTTAGTGAAGGACATGCTTTACAAACTGAGTCTGACAGAGCTTAAGTGGCTTGTCCACAACTCTGGGCATATACCAAATCAAGTGGTTTAACCATAGGTGTAGGATAATCTTTGAAAGTGTATCTTTTGGAAAGAGAGTTCTTAACAGTTGAGGAACATAAAGCCAAATATTTACAAATTTTACAGTTATAAAAATCCTGAACAGTGAGCATATGCTTAATAGAAATTATGAAAAGGAGTATAGCAAATATAAAGCATATATTATGGGATGCATTGTAGCATTCACAATGTACCTGGCTCTAGCACACCCAACTATGGTCTCTTTGAATTTGCATCCTTCCACTCTTGATTTGTTTGTTTGTTCATTCATTCATTCAACAAACATTAAGTAAGTATGCACTGTTATGGATCCTATGCTCATTGTATTGAGGAAGATGTAAAATTTTAGTAAGACAAAGACCCTGCCTTCATGAAGCTCAAAATCTGGTAGGGAGATAAGTTTTTTAAAAAATAACTGTACTATCAGGGCAGCTAGGTGGCGCAGTGGATAGAGCACCAGCCCTGAAGTCAGGAGGACCTGAGTTCAAATCCAGCCTCAGACCAAACACTTGACACTTACTAGCTGTCAAGTCACTTAACCCCAATTGCCTAAAAACAAAACAAAAAAATAACTGTACTATGGAATATTACCTAATACATTCATGAGGGGATGACAATTGGGGTGGGGTGGAAATTAAAGGAGAAAGTCTGGTGGGGGTGGTCTTTGAGTTGACTTCTAAAGTGAGAATCCAACAGTGAAAGTGAATAGGAATTCAGCAGGGTAAAAAGGAGAGGGAAGGCATTTTAGAAATAGAGATCAGCATGATCTAAGACAGAAAGAATAGTAGGGAATAGGAGATGGAGGTGGATTGAGCCGAGTCACTTTATTTAGCCGAACCCTCCTCCTCTACTTCTCATCTTGTGTAGAGCTTCAGTTGCAAGCCACTTCTTTACCCCTCCACTCTATGGGGTCCCACATGTGATGCCTTTGACCGTCTGGGTCCAACAGACATCTTGCTGCCTGAGCTTCATGTGGGTGACTGGCTGATCTTTGAAGACATGGGGGCCTACACTCACACCTTAAGTTCCAACTTCAATGGTTTTACACAGCCTGAGATGACTTTCACCACTCCATCTGAGCTACAGTGAGTAGAAGTGTAGGGCTGGGAATGTGGATCTGAACAGATAGTCCTCCAGCTACCCCTTTCAAGAGGCAAAGTTGGGCCTGGTCAAACTCCCTAATGCCACTGAGATATGCTGAAGATGGGAAGGGGCTGTCCCTAGAGCTCTGACCAGAAGATACCACCTTCCCCTGGGTCACCAGGCAGAGTCTTTGACCTAGTAATCTGCCTTCTCCCACACATATATACATTGCTAGGGGGTGGGGGTCAGAAGGAATTTCTGTAGAGCTAGAGTGAGAAACTACTCTGGCTTGACCCCCAGAGCTTTCATGAGACCTTTCCCTCACTTACCCTCCAATTACTCCCTACGCTTTCCCCACAAACTTTTCTTACCCCATTTCCCTGCCCCTTAGAGCCTTATGCCTTACTGGGTAACAGCAAATTAATTTAAAATCCAAATCTTGTGCAAATATCTTGAGGGTGGCTAGGTGTATATCTCTCCACTCCCATGTAATACAGATTTATTTTCACAGAGACCTTCTGAACCCCCTGCCTTAAACTCCAGGAAGAGATGTTCACCATGGAGGGTTCAGTGTGACAAGCCTGTGAAAGAAAGGGGAATGGTAAATGCTGAGAACTTTTGAGGTTTCCTAAGTCACACTAAGAGGCCTGTTTGATCATGTATCATGACATAAAAAGTAATCTCTGAGAGTTAAAAAGAAGTCTTGACTGAAATTGGGGTTGAGGTAGAGCAGAGAAGGAGGAGAGGTCAGGCTGAAGTAAATGCAATCTATTTGCAATCTGCACAGAGCACTGAATTTGGAATCAGAAAACTGTATTCCATTCCAGCACCATGATTTATTAGCTGTGTGACTCTGGACAAGTCATTTACCCTCTCTGGCTTCAAAGCCTCAACTGTAAAATCAAGATAGGATGATCTCAAAGTTAGCTTTCAGGTCTCATTTTCTAAGATATGTTCAGGCCACTAAGAAAAGTAAATATTACGTGTTTAATCTCCCCAAATTCCTGCCCTTCTCCCTCCAGAAAGGTGCCCCAAGCCCCGGTGTTTCTTTTCTCCTATGATGACAGTGCCTCACCTAGTGCCTTCTACATAATATAATAAATATATATTAGATTGTCCACTTTTGTTTGTTGGCTCAATTCATACTGTTTCCTTTATACATACAAAGTGACAGTTGTCACATAGGTTAAAATCCAATGAGGGGGTCTGGATTGTTGTTTAGTCATTTTTTGGTCATGTTCAACTCTTGATGACCCCATTTCGAGTTATCTTTGTAAAGTTACTGGAGTATTTTGTCATTTCCTTCTGCAGCTCATTTTACAGTTGAAGAAACTGAGGGAAACAGGGTTAGGTGACTTGCCCAGGGTCACAGGGACAGTGAGTGTCTGAGATCAAATTTTAACTCAGGTCTTCCTGACTCCAGGCCCAGCACACTATTCACTGCCCTCCCAGTGGCCCTCAGAGTGTAGTACCTGTAAATAGATTCAAACTGTTCCCTCTCTGTGGGGACTGAGCAGCACTCTCAATCTTTTAGCAGCTTATAATCTCCCACTCTGGCCAGTAGATGGCGTTCAGAAAGCTAGCTGTTCGACACTGCCCTCCCCCCCATCCACTCCATCTCCCAGTCCCAGTTCCTTGCCCCCTAATTTCTTTCCCCCACCACCTAGGGTGACTAGCTATTTTTTAGCTTTTCACTTTTCTACAGGAAAGCAAGTTTGCCTTTGTGAAGTGTGTGGTTTCCTGAGGTCAAGATCTAAAAGATGAATAAATAATATTCATAAGAGTGATTGTTACAATTGCTACTCCCATCCCTCAGCTTAATTTGCTCTTTTAATTTCTCTCTTCCTGGACCCAACGATTGAGATCAGCAACATATAGGTTACTATGATGTTAATTAATATACGTGAGTTTTAAGTGAGAGTAATCAGACACACTCTTCTACACCCACATGGCTATTAGTTGCTCAAGCTGAGAAAAATATTTTTCCTTCTTTCATTCCTTTCCTTTTGCCCACCCAATTATCTGTGCCAGGAAACTCTTATCACCCTCACAGTTGACAGAGTACTGAGGAGAGGAGGGACTTTGAGATAATTCCTCAGTGACAAAGAGCGGTAGAGATGCACACTTTTGCAGGGTCACCCAGTCCAATCTCTTAGCAGCTTGGAGTCCTCAGCAGACTCTGGGTAGTAACTAACTTCAGTATCTTTTTCCTGTCCCATCTATAAAATCAGCATCTTATTGTCAACACTTTCTGAGACTTACAACTTTTCTGGGATATATCTGTAAAATAGGGGAATGTAATTAGATTATACATAAGGACCCTCCTAGCCCTAAATTCTGTGAGAAGTATTGAACTTATACTGACATCTCATGAAACAGCCAGAGCTTTGAATCAAGGTAACACTAGAAGAGGGGCTGATCCTTATAGGGCTGCCATTCTGTGAACCTGGAAGTACAGGGGATCCCATTTACAAAGATGAAGAGACGTCCCGAGAAATCAAGACACTTAACCTAAGCTTGTGCCATAGAGTGACAAGCAGCAAGAAGGGAAAGTGCGACATTCATCTTTATCTCCTGGGATAAATCAGAAAGAATAAACAGGAATAAAGGGAATAACTGAAATGACTATTACTACTAATGAATTTTTCAAGAGGAGAGAAAGAAAAGTTGTGGGAAATTAAGTGATGGGCTCTATTACAATGAACCATTTGAGTCCATAGTTGTGTAGAATAGACAACAATAAAGGAGAAGGATGACCAATATTCAGAGGTTATAAACATGCTGACAACCACATTAGAATGATTATTTTTAATAGAAGAACATTCACACCCTTGCTGGAGCAAGTCAGTTTTCCCAGGTTCATGTGAGGAGAGGAAGTGTGGCTAGCTTGCAGAATGGAATCCTATGCCATAGTATGGCCCAGAGAAATCTAAAACTGAAAATTGATTTTAATTCTATTTTTGAGGCTTAGTCAAGTTATATTTAATATTCTCTTTCATGGTTGCTTTCCCATATAAACTTCACCCAGATCCCAGAGAAACTTGCCTTTGTAACTCCACTGATCACCAACTTTCCAGAGAAATTTGGTTAACCTAGAGGTCAGATCTCATCAACTTAAACTATTGTAGCAACTCCCCATCTCCTGAAGACTGTTCTCTTTGCTCGTGATTTGAATCATCTGTCTTGCTTAAGGGGGTTTCAAAAGGGCAGTTACACATGATTTAATCTCAATTCTGACTATGTCATTGATTGCCAGTCAGAAAAAGATACCTATGTTAATTGAGATTTCTCTCTGTCATCTTGCTAATTGTTCTAAAAGACCCTGGCAGTCTTCACTTAGTGCCTCTGGCTTAGCTTAGTAGTTGTTGACTGTCTCTATTAATAAATTCATACTTTATTAATAAACTGATCATGTTCAGAACTTTGTGCCTCAATTTACCTTGATTTCAATTGCATCAGGAAGCAATGAGGCAGCTGGCAGTACAGTGGATAAAATACTGGGCCTGGATTCAGGAAAAGCTAAGTTCAAATCCTACCTCAGACACTAGCTATGTGACTCTAGGCAAATCAGTTAACCACTCTTTGCCTCAGCCTCCACAGCTGTAAAGTGGGTATTATTATAGCACTCACCTCACAGGATTGTTGCGAGGACCAAATGAGATTACATTTTTCAAAAGCTCTTATCACAGTGCCTGGCACATAGTAGGAACTACATACTTATTCCCCACATTGTCTGGAAGGTTAGCCTTGGACTGAAGTCCATCAGGATTTAAATTTCACCTCTGATACGTATCAGCTTTGTAACTGACAAACACAACTGACTAGGAACTGACTGAAGCTGCCCTGGTCTCCATTTCCAGGCCAATGAATTGCCTGGGACTGACCAGACATTGTCACTTCCAGCCTCTGATCATTTTGTAGATCTCCCAAACTCTCCTCCAGAGATTCCCAAGCTCTCTTTATGGACTTTTGCTTTTTATATAAAACAACTTATCTTGTGAAACAGTGATATGCCCAGCCCCTCCCACCTGTAGCCTAGTCATTCTTTCTGCCTTAGTACCCTATAGAAACTCCATTCCCAACCTCTTCCTTGGGTACCCCACTACTTGCTATGTAGCGTCCTGAGCTGCAACCCACCTGCCCTGATTAAAGACTTCCATTTTGTTGTATTGACTGTTTCATGCTGACATAATCCTCAGCAAAACATTTAACCTCTCAGTCCCATGTTCTCCAAACACTCACCCTCCATTCAAATCTCTAAGATTAACTTATAGGATAGTTACCAGCATGCAAACTTGCATTGGTAGAGGGATAGTCCTCACTTGACAACAATGAAATTACAAGTCCATGTAAGAAGGCCAAATCACAATCTTCTTCCCAAGGAGAAAAAAGGAAGGAGGGAGAAAAGGAGAGAGACAGTGAGAGAGAGACAGAGACAGAGACAGAGAGAGAGACAGAGAGAAAGAGGGGCAGCTAGGATAGAGCACTGGATAGAGCACTGGCCCAGCATTCAGGAGGATCTGAGTTCAAATTCGGCCTCAGACACATAACACTTACTAGCTGTGTGACCCTAGGCAAGTCACTTCACCCCGTTGCCCAACACCGCCCCCCAAAAAAATTTGCAGATGGACAGAAAGAGACTGTAACTACTGTTGTTTACAGTAGTTATCAGCACCATGGTCAGCACCAGTGTTGCTGCTAAGGGCTAGAACCTGATTCAGCACTGAGGATATGAATAGCAGCTGAGCTTTGCAAGTGGCCTTAGCTGTTTGGTTTAAGTGACTCAGCTTTGTCCTCTCAGCATATAAAGACAAGGAAGTGCAGTTACTACACCAATATACTTCATTAGGTTGGCTGACTTTTTGTGTTTGAATTGTTTGTAGGACAAAAAAAATGATTTGGAAGAGTCTCTGGAATATGAGAAGGATGCTCTGGCATTCTCTGCGTTTCCTAAACAGAAATTCCCCTAATCAATTAACAGGCCTCTGGGATCTTGTGGAAGGATTTGATTCCATTCTTGGGTGTAAAGGTGCCATTATACTTGGTAAAGGCAGTGGTGGGAAGGTCTATCAGTGATTGCTTAAGCTGCCCTTCTGCTGTATTCTGAGATTCCACCTCAGAATGCTGAGTGAATTTGAAAACTGAGATGTAACAATGGGTGGGATTTGGCAATATAACAAATGGTAGACTATCTCTGCTCCTCCACATCATTTTAAATGTAATAAATCAGAGCTCAGCCATCGCATCCACTAGTTCTAATAATAATGATAAGAGTAATAATAATAACAATAGAATCAGCAAGGTGGCACAGTGAATAGAGCACTGGGCTAGAAGTCAGGATACACCTGAGTTCAGATCCACCCTCAGTCACTTGCTGTGAGACACTGCTTAAGTCACTCAACCTCTGTCAGCCTCATTATCCTCAACTGTAAAATAGGAATCATAATCATCATAGACAACAGCACTTGACATAATGCCTGGCATATAGCAGGGGCTTAATAAATGCTTGTTCCCTTCCCTCACATATAAAAGCAATTATAGAGCACCTCAGATTTGCAAAGCACATTACAAATATCTTATTTGATCCTTACAACAACTCCTGGAAGGTAGATGCTATTATGATCCCCATTTCATAGCAGAGAAAATTAAGGCAGATGGGTTAAGGAACTTGCCCAGTGCCATACACCTATTAAGTGCCTGGAACTGGATCTGAATTCAGTTCTTTCTGAATCTAGGTCCAGTGCTCTATTCACTATGTCACTTAGCTAATGATGAACTAATCAGAAGCAGCCAGGTGCTCTCCTATCTTTTTAACTATCTTGGATTTCAACTCCCTAATTAGCCATTTTGTCATCTCACCAGTTTAAGGATCATACCCTTTGAAAGGAAAAAATACAGAAACAGAACAAAAACTAGACAGGTCCTGCCTTTTCTCATTCAACTATTGTTAGTATACCATCCACCTGTGGCAGTGACCCTATCCTTTCCTTGAACTTCCTCTTTCCAACTAAGGCTTTTTGAACTCCACCTTTTGTTGTCCTTTACCTACCTACCAGTCTCAAAATATATAAAACTTTGCCTTTATAAGACTATCTCATGCTTCTG